GTTCAGCATGGGGGTGAGTAGAAAATGAAGGCTAATCATGTTTTGGGTGTACTATTCCTTTAATGCTGCAGATGATCGGCTGCCTGCTCTGTATGTATTCTGCCTGCCTGCCTGTAGGGGGCGCATGGCCCGTTCAGCCTCTGGGGCGTCTGAAGGGCTTCGTTTGAGAGGAAGTTTCATTACAGGCCGTTTTTCTTTTTTCTGTATTTTATTCTGGGCTCACTTTTATTTTCCCTTCAAAGGAAGATCCACTCGGTCCCCACAACGTAGCATATTTCCTAATTTAACATCAGAACATTTAATAGAGTGGATCAATAAAGCTGGACTTAATAATCATGAGTAAACAAACTTGTCTGTTTGATATCTTCTATAAATAGTGACTCCGTGTTTAATGCAGCCTTGGAATCAGGAATCAAAGGTTCACGAGGATTTCAGCAATAAAGTGCTGCTGTCTTTCTCTGTAATCTGGATCTTTTTCCAAGAAGCCTTCGATAAGTTTAGTAGATGAAGCCTTGAAATCTTCTGGAGCTGAAATATTCATCCATGTTTGATTTTATTGGCTGTTACTCCACTTCTGCTTTATCTAAATCCCTCTGAAGTTTCTATATTTATAGCTAATGGCTGATAAAACCTAAAAATGAAGAACTTTATGCTTAAATATTGTTGTGCAGTTGTCTGTTAATAGATGTCAGTCTCACTCATCTGAACCTTTTTAATTCTTGTTAAGATCACTGATAATTAGCTCAGATTAAAATAAACAGATGAAAATTTTCACTGATTCTTTATTCAGAAGAAGAAATAGAGGAATTAGGATTATTTATAACTGTGACCAAAAAGCTTTTTTTTCCTGTAGTAAAATACTAATATTCTTAATGTTAATTTTTTTTTTCATAGAATTAGTTTGGATTTGATCCTTTAATTGACTTTATTTTTCATTCAAACCTTTATAAAGGAAACTTAATTTGGATGCTGATTGTGTCGTGGAAGCAGAGCTGACGCTCTCTAACCGCCGCTCCTCCCATCGTCTTATTTTAGAACAATCATTTCTTTTATTTTATTCTGACTAAAGCTACAGGAATGTTCCTGCGTTCTTCACTGGTGACTTTCTTATCATCACTTCATCCAGCCAAACGATTCAGGATATTTTCTGACAACTCAAATGGTTTGACGTTTATTCAAAGACTGTAGCTCATAGAAATAGCTGTGAAGTCAGGAGTCTCTCCTGAAACCGTCATAACTGGGAGTCATGGAGGCAAATGTTTACCTGAAAGCTTTTTGTTTGGTTTCATGAATGACCTATAAATGTCAAACATGACGTTATGGAGAACACGCATCCTAAAAGCATCATTTAGACTGAACTAAAACACCTTTTCAAAAACCTTCTCTTTGTTTAAAGGTTAGTTTTAATGCAGAGATTTAAATCTTTATTTATAAAGCCGTAAAAACAACAGGTTCCGATCCTAATAAATGAGTAAAACACTTCAATTCAAGATGAAAAATATATAAAAGTTCTTAAAACATTTGAATCATATCACCACCTATAGAGACAAGTTGTATCTTTTACAATTTGAACATTTAGAAACTTTCCATTTAGGTATTTAATTTCCAGTTGATCTTATTCCTGATCATTTCCAGCAAACGATTATTTATTTTACGCAAAAATCCTGTTTTTCCTAAAAATCTGGATTTTGTATCATGTTCACTCATGTTTTTCTAGCAGCTAAGTTATTTCTGAGCAAGATGATAGTTTTGGGAAGTTCAGGTTAGCAAATAAGTTCAGCAGGTTTCCTGAAGTAACCTTAAAACCTTTAATGACTAATAGCTGCTTATGTTCTGAGGTTTGACCTTTTCTCTCGTTTTATCCTCATCTTGGAGTAAATGCAGCATGAAGTGAGTGAAGGAACCGGACAGGTGGGATTCTTACCTTGGGTCAGCAGAGTCAGCAGAGCAGCCACACAAACCACCTTGTAGAGAGCCATTGCTGCGAGTTAAAGTCAACTGACCTGGTTTAGCAATAATAACCTGCAGCAGGTCTGCAGACACGCCTCGGCCAGTTTAAGGCCATGCCCAGCACCTCTTACCTGCTCCTCCTCCCTGAGCACAGCACACCTGTGACAGGCAGCCCCACTGGCGTCTGAACTCACCAGTTCTGTCTCCATCAGACTAAATGATGCTCTAACTGGGAGAGTCTGTAGAGTAAATGAACCTGGAGGGAGGAAGATCTTAAATGTGTGGAGAAGCTGAGTTTGTGTTCCTCAGACCAGCAGCTCTGGACTTCAGATTAGATGAGAACTTTATAGGCGATGGATGTTTTTATTGGTTAAGCAACATCAGCAAAACTAACCAAGTTTGTAGAGAAAAACAAACGAGGGATTTATTACAATTTAACTTTCACACAATTAAGAGTGTGAACAACAAAGTAAAGAGAGCTTCTAGAAAAGTAAATACAGTCTTAAGAACTTTGCAGGGTTTTGTTCTTTGCTCCTTATTTTTGGCACCACAAACGCCACCTTGTGGCCATTCGTGGTCCTGCACTGGACTGGTTTAAAGGGGTCATAGAATGCAAACTGAGTTTCTATTGTCATAGATGAATAACGATAGTTTAGTGGGTGAAATGGACGTACAGAGAAGTTCAAACTCCATCAACACCTCCTTTCTCTGCACATCTCACAATTCTAATCTTCCACCATAAAACGGGCGAATCCAATGAAGCACAGAGTTGTCATAAACTCGGGGATGTTGCCTTATTTGGTTCTGGTCCTTTACTTTTGTCACGCCCCAAAATTGACATCCTGGGCCAAGAACATGAATAGAGGTCGATGGAAGACAGCAGTTTAGCTGTTCAGCCTAAAGTTGGGTAAACTTCTACAAGAATCACAAAGCAGGCAGTTTCTCTATTGATGAGCCAGAACCACGGGAGGAAATGCAGCGTTCCAGGCTGACCGGAGAAAAGGGAAAATTTTAAGAGTCTCCCCAACGATCAGAAAACTCGACAGGCATAGATTATTTCTGTTTATCAGGAGATCCCTGCAGAGTTTGATGCTCAGCTTTTCATTTGCTCGAAGCATTTTATCAAAGACAGCTTTCAACATCTTGGAAAGTTAAAAGCCGGATTTGATAAGCTTCTTTTATAGAAACCAGGGGCTGTTCCCACAAACCCAGGCCATTGCAACCGCAGCTGGAAGGTTGATTCTGTTGCTAAGCTGCCAGCTGGGGGCGGAGCGACTGACCTGCTCTGTAGTCGACCAACATCCCCCCCCAGACATTTTTTTATTGGTCTGAAAAGTAGGACATGTCCAGGAAAAAGAGGACGTCTGGTCCCCCTACCAAATCAACAATTTGATGTTTCAGTGAGTGAGTGCTTGTTGCTATGATGCGTCTTTGCTCAGCAGCTTGGCTCGTTGTAAACCAACCAATTAGAGCACAGCTCATCTAAATATTCATGATCAAACCATAAAAGGAAGAAAACCTGTGAACTGAGCAGAGAGGGTATTTAAGGGAGACTGAGACAAAGAGAGAACTAATGAGCAGACTGGGTACAGGTGCGCATAGAGCAGAACAAAAAAAGGAGCTACGGAAAAAGGTGAACACAAGAGGGCAGCAAGGGGCAACCAATAAAAACCTAGAAAACTGAAAATAACCAGAAAACACAACAAAATAAGAATTAAACCACTAAGACAAGGTGAGTCCTTCCTGCATGTGTGACAGGTATACTTTGTGCAGTGAACACAACCCTCAATGCTGTGGTTCCTGTTGCAGAGATTGCACACCTGGCCTGCTTAGAATAACAATGAAAAAATCTAAAAAAATTTTTTAGCACATTTTCCCAAAGTATATCCCTGTATCTACTCTATTAATTTTTGGACTCTTCGTGGACAAAATATAATATGTAAACTGAAAACATAGATTGAAAGTGACTATAGGAGTGTAATACTGTAATTTGCCCATGGAGACACTAATGGTACTTTTATCACATACCTACTCATTTTGTAAGCTAAATTCATATAAACAATATTTGTTTATAAACATATAAACAAATATTCCCAAAGGTCCGCCAACTTCAGATGTTTTGTTGCACCAATTCAAAGAGTGGATGAAATTTTTACTTTAATTCATTTGAAACAGAGACATACTTCCATGGATATTTATGAGAAATTTTCCAATTAATAATGTATTTCGTTTTTTGTATGTATTTTATTTTACAGCACCTGTCTATTGACCTTCTGTATATATTTTTTGTTTGTAATATCTGTATATTTGTTTTTTTGTAAAGTATTTTCAATAAAAAAAATCTAAACATATTTATTAATATATTTCAAAATATTTTACATAATAATTTAAATTAAATTACAAAAAAAATATTTTATTTTTTTATCAGGGTCATTGGGTGGGTGAGACGGAGCCCTGGCGCCCTCTACTGGCCAGCCACCACTGCAGCAGGTAAATAAAATAGCTTTTTTTCACAGGCCTTACCGGTAGGTGGCGGTAAAGAGCATCACGTTGTTTTCCTTCCGCCATTGAACCTCACAAAGAAGAAGAGTCGCTGTTTGCGAGTTTAAAGGCGTCCAGGGATGACTGGCGGGAACGCTTTTCACAAGAGTTTCTGTTCCACTAAGGACTCCGAGCTCAACATGGACGTGGACTTGGACTCGAGTCGGACCGAGAGCGAGCGGGGAGACCTGGACAGCAGTGTCCCCATTGCCTGCTCCTCTAACGGAAGCGGCGGGGAGGAGGACGAAGCGGAGGGCCTGGGCAGGCCCAGAGAAGCCGGGGGCTCAAGTAATCAGCTCACCCCGGATGGAGGGAGCGACATCGGGATCGGCAGGGAGCAAGAAGTGTCGGTGGAAATAGGAGAAACTTATTTGTGTCAAAGAACGGATAAAACATGGCGTGAGTAAAATCATCGTTTAACTGCTCTGCCTCTGATCTAGTTCATGTTGATCTATAGTTTTACCACAAAAAGATCTAATATTGAATTAACGATTACAGCCGAGACATTTTAGCATTTTAACTCATTAATAACCGAAACAATCTGCGTTTATCTCATTATTAACAGACGCTTTGAAATCTAAGCTTATTTGAAACAAGATATTTTGGTCGGTAAATTATCAAATGATGTTTTTATTAAAGCACCGATTGTTTACATCACTGAAGTTAGCTTCCGGTTCGCAGCTTCCACCTCTGATGGGTTAGGGTTAGCCAGAACCAGACTGCTGGTTCTGATGGTTCTGATGGGTTAGGGTTAGCCAGAACCAGACTGCTGGTTCTGATGGTTCTGATGGGTTAGGGTTAGCCAGAACCAGACTGCTGGTTCTGATGGTTCTGATGGGTTAGGGTTAGCCAGAACCAGA